TGCCGTGGCATCACGCTCACAGCAACCTCCAATTCCTGGGCTCAAGCGAGTCTCCTGCCTCAGCCTCCCAAGTAGCTGGGACTACAGGCGCCCACCACAGCGCCTGGCCATTTTTTGGTTGCAGCCATCATTGTTGTTTGGCGGGCCCGGGCTGGGGATTCAAACCTGCTACCTTAGGTGTATATGGCTGGCGCCTTAGCCACTTGAGCCACAGGTGCCGAGCCATGTTAGCTCTTAATTACATGTCTTTTCCCACCTCAGTGCCTTTGCTTGTGCCATTTTCCCAAATTAAAATTCATTTGTTTCTGCCTTCAGAAGAAAAGAAAATTCATTTGTTTCTCCATCATCTTTGCTTGTTTCTCCATCATCTTTGCTTATTCAAATTCCTCAGGGCTCAGCTCAAATGATAGTTTTATCATGAAAGGTGACCTAAAAAAAGGAATCTCGCTTTCCTCTAACCCTGTCCTTTGGCTCTTTGCACCCTTCCTCTAATAAGAGTTACTATGTACATGTGTTACCCCTCATTAGACTCCAGGCTCTTTAGGGGCTTAGCCAACTTTGATTTGCCTACAGAGCCAGGCATATAGTAGGTAAAATTTCTTAAAAGTAGGAAATTTCTTAAAAGAAATTACCAAATAAATTAAAAAAAATTGTTGCCCTGGGTAGAGTGCCAGGCATCACAGCTCACAGCAACCTCAAACTCTTGGGCTGAAGCGATCCTCTCGCCTCAGCCTCCCAAGTAGCTAGGACTACAGGTGCCTGCCACAATGCCTGGCTATTTTTTGGTTATAGTTGTCATTGTTGTTTGGCAGGCCCAGGCTGGATTTGAACCCACCAGCTCTGGCGTATGTGGCTGGTGCCTGAGCCCCTTGAGCTACAGGCATGGAGCCTGCTATACATATTTCTTACAGTCCTCTAGGAGTAAGTTACAAAATTAATACGTTAGTATTTAATATGTTCATGTCCATTTTATAGAATATGGAACATTATATTTGTCAGGACTTAGTCATATTTACTAAGACAGCTATGACTTCTTTGATGATAAGTTCTTATGAGGCTTTTAATCCTCAATTATAATATTATCTCTGTAGGAAGACATAATCCACTTCCATTGCTTGATCCACACCAATTGTAACTGTTATAAACCACATCATAACAAAATTTTTCAGGAACAAATCAAGGCCAAAAGTGTATCTTACTGCTGGCGTAGAGGCCCTTAGAGTATTTCAGTCAGTGGCAAATCACTAGATTGTTAAAAATCCTATTTTTATTTTCTATGCAATGACTCATTAAATAAATGGAAGATGACTGCCTTCATGATAAGCATTAAACCATGAGGAAAAATGACTTTTTTTTTTGCAGTTTTTGGCCGGGGCTGGGTTTGAACCCGCCACCTCTGGTACATGGGGCAAGCGCCCTACTCCTTTGAGCCACAGGCGCCACATGAGAAAAAATGACTTTCAAAGAAACTAAGATTAGGGCTCGGTGGCTAGGGCGCCAGTCACAAACACCAGAGCTGGCAGGTTTGAATCCAGCCCGGGCCTGACAAACAACAATGACAATTACAACCAAAAAGTAACCAGGTGTTTTGCCAGGAGCCTGTAGTCCCAGCTACTTGGGAGGCTGAGGCAAGAGAATCGCATAAGCCCAAGAGTTGGAGGTTGCTGTGAGCTGTGACGCCACAGCACTCTATCCAGGGTGACATAGTGAGACTTTGTCTTAAAAAAAAAAAAAGAAACTGAGATTAGGAATAAAAAAATAAACACAAGTGAAATTTATCACTTTGGCAGGCTAAACTGTTTTAGTTATGGCATTGTTCTGTTTTCTTAGTCTTAGTTTTTTCTTAAGTTTCTTAAGTTTTAAAATATACTTCATTTGAACACTGTAACTTTGCTGCACCCTTCTCTAATGATTCTGAAATGAAAATAAATGTAATAGCTACAGTAGTTACATTTGAGAACTGAAGGTCTATTTACTGACCAGAGCTGTATTAGGTATAAGATATAGGTATAAGTACGAATTTTATTTTATTTATTCATTTATTTACTTATTTATTTTGAGACAGAGTCGCACTATGTCGCCCTCAGTAGAGTGCTGTGGAGTCACAGCTCACAGCAACCTCAAACTCTTGGGCTTAAGTGATTCTTTTGCCTCCACCTCCCAAGTAGCTGGGATGACAGGCGCCCGCCACAACACCTGGCTATTTTTTGTTGCAGTTGTCCTTGTTTAGCTGGCCTGGGCTGGGTTCAAACCTGCCACCCTCAGTGTATGAGGCTGGTGCTGTAACCACTGTGCCACAGGCACCAAGCCACAAGTACTATTTTTAAACTTGCTTTCATGTAATTTCATTTTACCATAATGTGCCTTAGAAGATATATCTATGGCAAGGGTAGGAATGAGACCATTGCACATTGATTACAGAACATTTGACATATGGCGAGTTTTAGCAAGTTCAAAAAGAGTTATATAAACTGTATCTGCTCCTGCAGGCTTCTGTTGTATAAAAATTCCCTGAATGTATGAACAGTTCAGAACAATCTTTTTTTTTTTAACTCCAAGAACAGTTCAAAGTTTTAT